CAAATTTCTATATATAGTCGAAGTGGCTTATTTTTAAAATTCGAAATATTTCGAAAATTTTTATCAAAACACAAATGAGGAAATAGTATTTGTTTTAATTACCATCTTCGGGAAATGGTGAAAATTTTGAAAAGGTCTTCGTTAAGTGCAACGAAATCTCTCAATACCACTAAACTCTTCAACGATCTTCTTAGATATTTTTGTCAAATCTTTCTCCTTGTAAATCCATATTTGCTAAAAATGATTATTTTGGCAGAGAGGGAAAGAGAACTAAAGCTTTATATGGCGTTTGTGTCAGAAAAGTCCTTTATATAGAGAAGGATATCAAAAATGAACCTACTATAGGTTTTTAATCTATCAAAGTAATGCTGTATGCACAAATCGTTAGCCAGGAGCAATTTCGATCATAAAATTCGACCTTGTTATTAGATAAAGAATTCATAAACTCCTTTTATTCGATTCGAAAATTTTTCACTGTCATTTTATATAACCTGGTGCCATTTTCTGCTCACTCATGATTTTTGCAGTTTTTTCCATGGGTCAAACAAAATGCATCGGTGTAACGAACTGTGTAAAGATGTTTCAAACCATCGCGAACAGAAGTTTGAATAGAAATATCTAATAGATATGCACAGGCATTGCAAACGAATTGATGAAAGGGCACGAGCGGTGAGAGGGACAAACTTAAAGATCGATACAATAAATAGTGAATTTAACGTATGTTCCTATAACCGTTACACCTACTCTACTGTATTGGGTATAAAAAATTATTGCATTAATCAGGATTACCTAAGAGACATTTATCCGCGACATATGAAAGCAGAACACGAACTTTAAAATCATTTTGTTAAGGTAGGTAGAGTACAACATATCTATTCCATTTTTAGGGCATTTAAATATTCGAAATTTCATGATAGGCTTTTGTCAATTACATTAGCCTTCAATCGAACCTTGATGTGTATAAAGTTGTTGTTTACCTAAGAGCCAAAACGAAAACAGAAAAAAAGCGAGATACAAGTAAGAAAAAAAATGTCAAAAGAAAGAAATCAATATATTTACTGATAATGAAAGTATTATATCTGTCATTTCGCTAATAAGGCGCACGGAACAGGATTTACGCAGATTGCGATGGTAAAACAACCGCTTTTTAAAAGAATTTATAATATATATATATATATATATATATACAATAATGTATATTACATATATAAAAAGCCACAAAGGCAAACAAAAAATACTTGCCTATAAACATCAAATGTCTCAGGTCAGAGATTTTCAAACATTTGCTAACAATAACTGATTGTTGCAAAGAATTAAGATTTTCCTGATAAGACTTGAGACTTTCTTTAACATATAATAAAATAATTTACTTTGGAAAACTATATCATTAAGATTGCACTCATAAGCGCAAATTTCATCATTTTAAATTTTTTAGAATTACGAACGAATAATTTAATTTTTTGATAAATTAGCATCTTTCTAAGCATAATTAATATAAGTGATACGAGTAACTATGTTAAGAGCGGGCCACGACTCATCGTTAAATATTCGACATCACTCTACACATCGTTTTGAATAATGCAGTTATTCGTTAAGCGAGTTTTCAAAATAAGCCTTCATATGGGAAGTGATTGAAGAAGTGGTCTGATTCGAATAGCGTAGGACATCTGTGTACCAAATTTTATCCTAACATCTCGCAAATTGGACACATGGACAAATAACAGGCAGACGGCCGCATGGACAGATAAGCTTAGATCGATGAAGAAAATGATCAATACAATATAAAAAGCTGTATCTTCTTCTTCTTCTTCTACTTCTTGTGCATATTGTATGCGTCCGCATTAAAAAAGACACTTGCTAAGAACATATTGTTCTGAAATTCGCTTTTATAAGATACAGTCCGTATCACTGGATCGCGGATATTTTATTCAAGGGAAATACACTTCAAAGTTCTCCTCCTTTGGTTAGTAACCGTTTTCATCGGCCTACAGCTGCATGACGCGCCTGCGAATATGCACTTCGCATGCACTTCTTACCTGGCGGCTTTTCCGCTAATCGCTTTCATCGGTCTGCAGCTACATGACGCCTCGCGAATGTACATTTGGTTGTAGAAAATGACTAGATTTGGGATTTCCGTAATAATAAAAAAAAAAAAAAAAAAAAAAAAAAATGTTTAGCGGTTACGAACAATATTTCGCAGTTTGAAACCTATTGTGCTACACAAGTTATAGCTCATATTATTTATTGCATTATCATCGTCATACATTGCTAATATGCTTTAAAATTTATGGTATGTAGCATTGAAATATTTAGCATATGAAATATTCATTAACTTTTGTCTTTGTTTTCGCTTAATTAAGCAAAGAACTTGAAAAAGAACAAGAAAAAGAAAAAGAAAAAAAAAACATTTTTGTCATAAATTTTTCTACAAATTTCAAATATCTTCCTTCTAATGAGACAAAGGGATTTGAAAGCTCTCTTCTTTTTTTTTCTCGAATAA